AACCACTTGTATTGTTCTCTTATTATTTTCATCAACAATATGGTTTAGTAATTAAAATCATTTAATTATTGTCCGTGCAGAGGCTATTCCGTTTTATTGATCTATGGCGCATTCATTTTGATTCTTTACACGTGTAATGATGTCCAGTGACTTGTTTGCATTATTTATGCATAATTTTATTTATTTGTAAGACTTTTTTATGACTAAATTTGGTAATGGGAGAGTAAAAATATTTTTAAAACATACACCGTTCAAACTAGGCTGCTTATGTTGAAGTGTTTGGGATGTGGCTTTTAATGATGAGACCTTTTTTGTAATCAGGCTCTCAAAAAGTATATAACAATTTGGATATAGATTTATCGGCCAACATATCGGTTATCGGCTTTCAAAAATAAAGAATAATCGGTTATCGGTATCGGCCAAAATTTCCATATCGGTGCATCCCTAGACTCAATGAAACTTTTTTCACAGAAGCGACACATTGCAGCTCAGAAAATATTAGTAAAGCAAATAGAGTTACTAAACAGCCGAGTCTTCAAGGAGAAGGAAAAATCAATGTGCTTAATGGTCCTGCGTAATAAAACCCCAGCAATTTATATCACACACGGCATTCAGACAAATCATATTTCCCCACACAGTCCTCCATTCCACCCCAGAGAAAGAGATCATTTGAGTCACGACTGCCTCGTTTTCTTCTGTGAGGACCGTCGCTGAGGAACCAGTGAAAAGGGAAGAGATCACAATCTCCCATGAACGCCTGCTGCTTATTCTCTCCCGGGCACGGATAAAAAACACTAAGGTATCACCTCGATTTCTTCAGCTTCTACCAAGCAGGCCTGATCGGAGGAAGGGGATCTGAAGGGCGGATGGTACTCGATCAGGTTCAGGATGGATGAGCCTGGGGTGTTTCTTTGATGAAAGAACCAAACCACTGCAGAAACGACCAGTATCAGCACCACGCTGATGATGACCAGAGCTGACAGAAGAGGACTGCCCTCTAGAGATGAGAGAAGAAAGAAATAGAATGATCCAGATGGTTTCTGGTGGTTTAAATGATTTACAATGAACATGACGGCTTCAAACAAACTCAATTATGGACATTATGTCTTTTAGGGAAAAAAAAGAGGAGACAAATGGGGAAAACTCACTTAATTTAAGTGTACAGATATAATAGCAAGATCACATTAACAACACAAATAAGATCATGCTTACTCGGTGGGCTTATCCAGACGGCCTCTGAAAAACAAATAAAAAAGATTGAAAGTCAAATTACACTCTAAAATCTTTATGGGCAAAGCATACCTACATTTTATCTTCCATAATGTTGGAAACTAAAAATATGCACTAGTATGTTCTTTCCACAAATGTACCATTTTATATTATTTTAGCAAAATTATGATATTACATCATTCACTGCACCTGAAACATATGGATGGCCAAATTACTCAAAAATGAATCATTAAATAAATATTTGAACATGTATGAACTAGAAAGTTCAAAGATATCGAGATTTAAAAAGGTGACATTCACTAATGCCGAGTAATGTGCTGACAACCGTAACCCTGTTAACCAAAATTAAATGTCAGGAGCTTGTGCTTAAATTAAAAACAATCCAAAATGAAAAAGGAATGGTTCAAATAAACAAAAATAAGCAAAAAGCACCTTTCTCCAATGACAGCCATTCATATATAACTGGCCATAAAACTAGAACTATTATTATAGCTGTAGGTGCATGCTTGTCCATTTTACGATCTTGGTCCTGTCACGTTGTTTGTACTTGAATAGACTGATAATAATACACAATGTCCATAACTTAAAAAATAAGCTTGGATATTCCAATCCATTTATTGTCTCCTTCTTGATTCAAAATTTCAAACAGCAACAAACCATAAAGAAGTAAAAGTGTCTAATTACTCAAGTCCATCACGACGCGTCAGAACCAAGATCGTAAAATGGACAATCATACACTTACAACTTAAAGTCAAAAAGTTTGTTTGACCTCCTTCATGCACACCCACTATGCCGATTCAACAACATAAATATGCAGCCTCTAGTGGCTTGAAAGAAAACATGAAAGAAATGGCTCCTACAATAGTTGCTCCAAAAATGGCTCCTATAATAGTTAACTAAAACTAGAAAAAAAATTGCATGTATTTATTATATTTTTACTTAAAAATAAAATAAATGTTTACTGAAAAAAAGTAAAGTTGTAATCTTTTAACTTAACTTTGGATATTTAATCATGCTTATTTTGTGCTGAAACTGGAATTAATGTGGAGGAGATGATCATGTGCGCCTCGCGCTGCCGCTTTTATTAAACTGAGGCACGCCGCGCTACAGCAATCACTCCACAAAACGGCATTTATTGTTTGAATACTGCAATACGATGGACAGAATTTGAATTCTGAGACTTTGTTTCATATTAAAAGTACTAAAGCACAATGCTTATTGCGATATATTGGATGGGAGGTGCCCTTCAATGTTCCGTCCATTAACTGAAAACAGGCTAGACTATTCGATTCTTGGGGTTTAAGAATCGATATTGTTCCGTGAAACTGAGAATCGATTATAATCGAGATATCGATATTTTTTTTTTACCCATCCCTAGTATTTAACCTTTTTGCATGTCCGTTTTAAATTTCCTGACTGCTTCCCCAGACATGTTCTTTACCATGAGTTTTCAGAAAGTGCATAATTCTGTTGGGATCATGAATCATTGTGCTGTCACTGCCGGTACACCAGAGGGGGACAGTGTGTACGAGTGTTGTCTTGCCAGAAATAATACACATTTTAAAATGTATTAAAATAGAAGATAATTTTTTGTCAGATTGTAATAATAATTCACAATATTCTTTTTTACTGCGTTTTTGATCAATTGTATGAGCCTTGGTGAGCATAAGAGACTTTCAGAAACATTAAAAAAAACACGACCCCAAACTTTTAAACAATAGTCAATAGTATATTAAATATCGTTTCTCTCCTTTATCTATAGTAGTTGATGTTGCTGTACTACATGTAAAATCAGTGTATTTTTTTTTATTTAGTGTGGTCAAATCTTTAATGCACCTTGCGATTTATGCAACTAATTTGATTATTTTTTTAAATGTCTGTTACAAAATAAACATGTAATTTAAGCCTTTTCAGACATTCAAATAACAAATAATAACTGCTCAGCCAGTCCCTCATTCTGAGTCAGCAGCAACAGTACAACGTGAAACAATAGTACAAAAGCAGATGCAGTTTGATTATGTAATTAAATATTCTAATCACGCCGGTTTGATTTTACATGTCAAAGGGTTAATATTTCATAACTACTTTCTCCATGACAACCACATTGAAATGTAAGAGTGAATACCCTGATCTGTGTCAACTAGGGATGCACGATATATCGGCCACCATATCGGTATCGGCCGATAAATGC